GAGACCCAAAGCCCATTTGTAGGCCACTGGACATCCACTTACAGAAGGGTTTCAGGGAGGAGACGAGCCAGTCAGGGTGCAATGTAGGAACGATGAAACATACAACTTTCCTTTTGTTCCTAAATGCTTCCTCCTATCCCACTATCATGATCCCAATTCTACCTTACAAATCTGGCTGGATCAGAGGATGTACACTGGTACAGATAGGAACTGGAAATACAGGGAATCCAGGGTGGGTGATCCCTTCAGAACCAGTGGTGAGAGTGGCGATACTGGGAGGGTGGAGGGAGGGTGGGTTGGAAAGGGGGAACCGAATACAAGGATATACATGTAACCTCCTCCCTGGGAGACGGAAAACAGAGAAGTGGGTGAAGGGAGATGTTGGACAGGGCAAGATATGAGAAAATAATAATTTATAAATTATCAATGGTTCATGAGGGAGGGTGGAGCGAGGAGGGAGGGGAAAAATGAGGAGCTGATGCCAGAAGCTTAGATGGAGAGCAAATGTTTTGAGAATGATGAGGGCAATGAATGTACAAATGTGCTTTACACAACTGATGTACGTATGGATTGTGATAAGAGTTGTATGAGCCCCTAATAAAACGATTAAAAAATTTTAGCACTCTATCAATTGATCTTATGATCCATTTAAAATTATTCTAGTTCTTAAATATTTTCTGCTTTCTTTTCAACTAGGGTTTTTATCTGTTTTACTTTGTTATTGTTGCTAGTTTGTGGGCTTTTCAAAAGCACTTTTCTGTATATGAAATCCAGGGGAGGTAAATCTAGAGAGACAGTAGGATGAATGGTTCCTTGGGGGGTGGCAGGGAAGGTGGGGGGAGATGGGGAGTTCATAATGATGAGATACCTTGAGAACCCCTCGATGAAGTGTGAGCCCAGGGGCACAGGTAAGCCACGGACAGACACTGAGACAGCATTTATTCTTATGGTTAATCCCTAAACTTTAGTGTAATGAGTTATATAGCAAGAAGTACACCTGAGATGGTTTTCATTAAATATATAAACATTTTGGCCACTATGTTCAAGTAGTTTTCCCTTTCACCTCTCCTGAAGACTGTCTGATATTGTCCCAAGGGCCAGTGGTGCTTTGTTTGTGTTGCCATTGTTTGGCTTTTTTTCTATGGCTGTTACACTTTCTATTCCATGTCAAGTGTTTTTGTCTGCAGTGACTTCAGTGTATTTTTCGTGAGTACGGAGTCTGTGTGCGCTGTTGTTTTCAGTATACTTTTCTTCTTTCAAGCTCATTCACATTTTCCTTCGCCTTCTTGAGCACACATGGTACATTTAGACGTACACACATAGCCGTCTCCTCACTGCAGATCGCTCTCTGAAACTCACCCTTTTCTAAGTAAGCTCTTGGAGCCCACGGAGGGTCCTCTTCAGCATAAGGGTCACTGTACTCAACCACAGCTGCTGCCTCTTCTTCAGAATCTTCTGGAGGAGGGGGGGGAGGGGGGGACTCGTCAAAGACTGGCTCTTCCACAGGTGGTGGTGGAGGTGGTGCATCTGAAACTAAGAATGTATCAAGCTGACAATTAAACTATATACATAATACATGAAGTCCAAAATTTTTCTATCCAAGCTATGTCCAAGGAATACAGACCATAACCTGCAAGTTTTGTAATCCTACAAAGCTTCAGGGGCCAAGAGAAGTCATCCCACCAGCTATCATGTTTCTTTCTATCTTCCATGTACGGCTTTCTCTGCCTTGAGCTAGTACTGACAGTGACTGAAGTTTAGCCAAGGTAATTATCATTAACCGAGTCTCGCAAACATGCGTCAGTTAATACACAATCCTCTTCTTCGGATAATGAGATCAATATAGTTTGGCATTATACCACACCCAGGGAGAAGTGGTCATCAAAATGTTAATAATTTAGGCATATAATGTATTAGAACATGAGTCAAGCGAACAAATTTAATTTGGTGTCTGCTACTTTCCTTGTAATGGTTTTCAAAAATATTTTTTTAAAATAAGCAGGGGGGAGGGAGGAATTCAAGAATAACTTTAGGTAATATTACCTAGTAACTTTATTTTTAAAGAATTTCAATTAACTTGGACTCATTCCTGACCCAGAATTCGTTCCGGATATAGGTCCTGCAGAGTAGCGTCTGGAGGCCATCTCCACGTTCAGAGTCCTCGCGCTCAGACAACGCTGGTTACACACTGAGCGCAGCACAACCGCGTACACTGAGGGACTGCCCGATGATACTGCCTAGTTTCACCAGAGACGACTAAGTCTTCTTTATGAGGCACCAGGATGGTTTCAATACATTCTCTGGGAAATTCGATTTATTTTCTCGTTTTTAAGTCTGACTCTACTGACAGAGGCAAATGGATTTTAAGAAACTGCTGCTTCCTAGGGGAATATCGAGAGCGGCACTGCACGCGCACGCGCACCCCACTCCCACCCCCACCCCCGTTTGGTGCATTTACTAATGTACCTACGTTAGGAACCTTAATGCCTAACCCATGAGAGCATCCTTTAGTGATAACAAAAGACAGGTGATTTTTATGTATGCTTTATGACACATCTATCGTGTGTGACGAACACAGTCTGTCTTGTTGGTATGCATGAGGAGGAGAGGCTGCTCTTCACAAGGGTCACAGAACCAAGGGGACTTTGCCTTCCCAAACACCCCCGAGAAATCATACTACAAAGGGGTTCAAAACTGCTGGTGCCCATTTTTTAACCTTTTCATCTTTTTTTCCCCCACAACTCTCCCCCCAAACCTTTTCTCATACTGTTTCTGAGCCAGTTTAATAACACCATCAACATAAGCTACATTTTTCACAACTTTAGGAACCATTGTTTCATTAAGTCTGTAATTCAGTCTTGGGAGGTGGCACTTTTTAATATTCATTTTAAGTATTTAGAAAATGGCTAAGATTAAATGATTCATCCAAGGCCCTACAACAAATAAGTGAGGAAGCAGGTATTTGAACTCTTCATGCCTATGGTCTTAAACGCTGTACTGTGGCATGGCGCAATCTAATAACTGTAAAGTCACGTCTCGCTCCTACTGATCCAATTATAATGGGAGGGCTTGGCACTGGGAAAACAAGTGGGCAAACCCTGGCAACAGGGTTTAAAACAAGCATGTAGTTGACGGGGTTCGGGGAGCACCGCCCGGGATCAAACCTCAGACCCGGCCCAGAGAGGGCTGCCTGAGACCGAAAGCACGAGAAAGCAGCGTCAATGGCCAGCAAGTCCAAGAGGGAGGGCTGGGCAGGGGCGGTGCATGCTCCACGCAACAAGGGAGGCGTGCACGGGAAGAGCACAGGGACTGTTCAACGCCCGGAGCGGTCCCCATTCGGTGGGGCTGGAGCGAAGAGCTGAAGGTGGGGAGATACAGGGTGAGCAAGGACCTTGTAGCATTCTAGATTCTATCTAAAGAGCAAAGAGAACCATAGGAGAACTTTAAAGACTGATTACACCTGCACTACTTAGCTCAGTATAACTAATTCACTATGTTATTGGGGGGCCAATGAATCGACTGGTTACAAATAATTCCAGACTTTTCTTAAAATCAAACAAAACACAGAGAAAATATTTTGTACCACTGAATATCTTCAAAATTATGTACCTGAGAAGCTCTGAAGATAATTCCAATGCCTGGGATACACCCTTCCAAGGGGAATGTTTTGAAAAGATTAACAGTCATTTGAATTTATGAATTCTGCTATGTCTACAAAAAGTCACAGCACATTTCATTATAAATGTTTCTTATGTCATACATGTTGTAGGTAAGACATGTGACTGTTAAGGAAAGGGAAGGGGCAATCATGATTGGGGGTTGACTTTAGAAATACAGGTATTTGCCATAATATCCTATAATCAGCTACTTAAGATGGTCCTAGGTCTTGAATTTATAATCATGCATTTTAATAATCCTCAATTAAAACCATACTTTTTAAGGTCTGAAATATTCAGATGTTTCTATAAATTTTACAACTCTTACAAATAACTGGTAAAAACAAATGACATCCTGCTTTGTACTGTTCAACTTTAAAATCTAGTGTTTTACAAAGAAGAAAGAAAGCAGTCACCTGCTGCTATGATAGAAACACCCCTGTTTGTTTCATGGGCTTGTCCCCAATGTCGGTTTTAAGACCTGGCCTTTAATCTCAAATTTTAGCGTAAGTGACATCATGCAATGACAAGTGATTGCTAAAATTCACCAAGGTAAACGCTAATCATGGTATTAAAGGCCAAAGGAAGAAAGCCTCTCAAGTGACTACCTTTATAAAACAGTGGGGTTCAATTAGTGATGTGATGGGGGTGGGGGAGATGTCTCTTGTACTGTCACGAGAGTCAGACATTTCACTGTAACACAACGCTTCACATGGAGCTGAAGAATAGAAAAGCCACTGGAGCTCCCTTCAACTCAGCTGCAGTCAATCCCTTTCTGCTTGCTCCCGTTCAGATGCAGACTATTAACAAACGAACAGAAAGGCAGAAAACGGTGACCACCTCTTCTACTCGTGAGCTCACAAACTTGGCAAAGGGTCAGGCTGTGGTGCCCTGGACACATGCTGAACTCGCAGGGTCCCACTTGCTGAGAGGCCATCTTCTCCCTGAGCTGGATGGGTCAACCCCATTAGTGGGTCTCCACAGCGTATTTTATAAGCATATAAAAATCGACCTTATTGTATATGACAATAGTTCTTAAATTTAACAAAAAATTTCAAGAAATCACAGTGATAAATATTAGAAATGCTCATAGACCTCCCAATAAAAAGAAAATAGATTGTTTCCAGCAACCACCAAGTAGAGAAAGTAAATGTACTGAAAGAGAAAGAAGCTTGTGGACCAGAAAGGCTGGGTTGTAACCAGTTAAATTAGAAACGCATGTAAAGAAAGTGTTGCTCAAAAGGATCATTTACCCACTGCCAGCAAGTCGCTCCTGGTTCACAGTGGCCTTAACTAGAGCTTCCGAGGCTGCAAATCTGGATGGGGGCAGAGAGCCTCATCTTTTTCCCGTGGAGTGGCTGGTGAGTTTGAACCAACCTTGTGGTTACCGGTTCAACGCTTACCCAGTAGCAACACTAGGGGCCCTTAAAGGGGACATCAAGCCAGTGGGCTTTTCTTGTGCTTTTCTCACCACCTGTGACAGGCATTTTTCTAAATACTAGGGCAGCAGCCACTGAACAAAACAGGCAAAATTCCCTGCTCTCACAGAGCTTACATTCTAGTATTGGCAATGCTTCCACAGGGGCAGGGGCACTAGACGAGGCTGTTTCCACTGGAGAGGCCGTCCTTAGGAGAAGCACTCAGCTACTGCAGGCTAATGACACAGCTTCACTGCAGTGCTCTTCGTTCTGATCGCATGTGTATCATGCAACCTTATGATTATGTGGCTCCTTCTGTAAACTGCTCACAGGAAAAATAAGTCTTGTTATCAGACAGTCTTCGTTCGCTTGTCTCTGTGACAGCAAATCCCCATTGAACAACACCAGTGTCAGAGCGATTTTTACAGCTTGACTCCAGTTCAGTGGAAAAATCAGTGTCTAACCCTGCATGGCTATACACCAGACCCCAGGCCAACCGAAATTCACTGTCAATATAATATGAGGCTTCTTAGGAGATAGACTGGCAGCTTAGTTTTCTAGACCTACGATAGAATGACCATTTTTACCTCAGCATAAAATCAAAGGATTAGAGGCGATTCTAGGGCCATTCATAGTACCTATAATGCACCAGTAATAGGAAGCTGGACCATTACCTGTCTGAGCAACCTGGTGGGGGGTGGGGGTGCGGGGAAACGACTATCTGGCGATAAAACAACATTTCTCCGGTTGGATGAAATCTTCTTTTCATGTGCTTTTTATTTGTCTTATCTTCGCGACTAGGTTTTAAATATAACTTCATCATAATTATTTCCTCATTTAATAGTAGCCATTCATATGACTTGATCATTTTATTCAAATATGTGAAGCATCAGTGAGTGAATGAATGAATGACTACTGAGTCAATCATATATAAAAGACATTCTATGCCTATAATCTGATCTAAAGCATAAAGAAGACATAAACTTACTATTTTCTTGGACTCTGGCCACAAATCCCATTAAAGGTAACTGAGGAGTTACCTGTAGGATGGAGGGAGGAGGAGCAAGAGATACTGCAAAAACAAAAAGGTGTGGACGATAAGGGGTACGGGCAAGTTACATTGAAAGGAAAAACTAACACAATAAAACTAGCATTTAAGGAGGAAAACCGCTATTCAGAAACATTGCACAAACTATTTTATGACTTTCCCCTCTGAAGGATTAACATTAACATACAAAACAAAATTTATGTGGTTTTTAAGAAATTTTAAAAATCACACCAGGAAGCATTTATTATACCATAGATCTACTCTAACAAATAATAGTAATGACCTTATATATATAAATAACATCTTCTCAAAGAGAGAATTCGATCAGATAAATCATGAATAATTTTTGCTTTTATGAATTTTACCACGAGGGTTCCAACTGTCAATGCTTAGTAACACAGCAGGAAAAACCATTGTGCTTACACTTTTCATTATTTTATTAACAAGCAAATTAATTGATGCTCACTCATTAACAAATACTGACTTCCTCCTAAGTGGCAAGCACTCTATATGAAGTATCAAAACCATTCTCTCAGAGTCAGGTGCTGTGTCATGACAGTTTTTCCTAATTCCCAACTCCTACCACCTAGTCAGCCCGGAGCCCTTCTCCAAGGCTACAGGGAAAGTACTGTCCTCATTCAAGTGCATGTCTCACCTCATTTCCTTCTTCTACATTGAACACCATGCACAGCACCTAGTACTAGAAAACATTTTTTGTACAAATGCACAATTTCCCAAGAGGAGCACTGGAATTACAGTTTCATTAACAATGGATATAAATTATGCCTTAGAGAGAATGTTTTTATTAGTTAAAAATAAATCATGATTAATAACACTAGAAAGTTTGGTAGTAGTTGACCTCAAGGAGAATACATTAGAATTGGGGAAAGATGAGAAAATAATAACCTTAGCCCGGTAAAAATTGTAGCAATTTCCTAGAGGAGGAGGGTTTTGGTAGTGCTAAAGCCAAAACTAAGCTCACTGGCACTGAGTCGACTGTGGCTCACAGCTACCCTACAGGACAGAAGAGCATGGCCCTGCGGGTTTCTGAGACTCTAAGTCTCTACAGGAGCACAAAGCCTCACCTATCTCCTATGGGGCTGCTGGTGGTTTTGAACTGCTAGCCTTCCAGTGAAGAGCTCACCACATAACCCACTACGCCACCAACGGCTAACCTTCCAGTGAAGAGCTCACCACATAACCCACTACGCCACCAAGGGTCCTAGTGATGGTAAGGCTACAAAGAAATGAACTCAGCAGGTACTGGGACAAAACAGCAGTTTGCAAGGCAAACAAGATTAAGGAGAAAAATTGAGAGAACCAAGTGAGGGTAAAGGCGTGGAGACATACTCAGTTCATCAGACTGTCCATGTCTCCATATGGTTAGCACAAGTACTCTAGAGAGAAATATAAACAACAGGAAAGGTTGAGTGAGTGGACAAGAAATAAGGACCCTACATGCAGGCAAAAGAGTGGTTAGTGGTCAGTGGAGAGGTCTGAGGGGCTGGCCCCAATCCCAACTACATGGACACCTGCCCCTCCCCCCAGAAGAATTTATTTCAGAGGACAGCACTGAATCTGCAGCTCCCGGATGTCTAATCAGAGCACACAGGAGCAATGAAGGGGGAGGAAGAGAGAGTGGAGCACATCCTGATCCACCAACCCTTGAGGACGATATTCCCACTCAGAGTAGCGAATCCACAGAGAGGACCACATGGCTGGCCCCACTATGAGACACGGCATCCCTCACTGACCCATAGCCCTACAGGGGACAACACTGGAGACACAGTGTGGGAACTCAGCCCAATCTGATCCCACCACAGCAAGGTAAAACAATAAGGGCATGGAACAGAACAGCAAAGGGAACAGAGCAACGAAGTCCCCAGGGAATAACAAAAATAGACATTGGGGCCAGGGCTTGGCACCCCAACAGACTCGACTGGAAAACACACCTAAAGGCCAACAA